ATTCCCATTTCTAGTTGTGTGTTCAAATGAATTATCTAATTTTGTATTTTATTTTTAATAAAACTTTTCTAATAAATATAATCAATAATATTTAAAATGAAAAAATAAAATAAGCAATATAATTTTTGTTTATTTGTTTATATTTGTAATTTTACAATGTATTGTTCTATATTTTCATACATTCAATAAATTTGAGAATGCATGGATTCTTTATTCAAGATATTTAGTTTTTGTGCAGTTGTGTCTTGTAGCAACAATATAAATGAAGCATGTAAAAGACATGCTTTATTTAATTTCTGTTTTACTCAATTAATTACAAGACATAAGTTCTTACTTGCATAGCTTGATGTTTCAAGGTGGTGTCTCATAAGATCATGGAAAGCTGCTCGCTTAAATCTGAAGTTTCTCTAACCAATAGTTGTCATGATAATTCATTTCTGAATAATAACTCTTTGATTAAAACTAAGTCTGAAAAATCTAAAGACAATAAGTTATTGATCTCTGAGAATATTTCAAATGATGTAAAAAATTCTAAGTGTCAAATAAAAACATCAAAAATAAATAAAGATGAAGATGAATTAAATATACAAGAAAAAGAAAATATAGAAGAAAAGCAAAAATCTGATAATGTCAAAAATGATTTAAAAGAAAAAGAGAAAGAAACTAGTCCTTCTAATGATGGATCTAAAAAATATAATACAAAGGAAGTAAAAGAAAAAAAGAATAAAGCAGATACAAGACATAGAAATAGAAAACATAAAAATGATACTAAGGAAGTAAAAGAAAATGTTACTCCATTAATAAGGAATAAGCAGCAGTTACCTATTCAGGTATATACTGTAATGCATTTATTATTTTAATGTTTTGTGTGCAGCAATGCAATACTTATAGAGTTTAATTTCATTCATTATAATACATTTCATATTGCCTAAATCATCACTGAGAATCTGCTTATTACAATAAATTTAAAAAAAAAGGAAAGATGAAATCATTTTATTCTTTTTTATAAACTTTTTATTTCATAAGTTTTAAATTTATATTGTTATTACCTGTCTTAAATTTCTTAAATTTAGTAATTGTTGAGTGAACACCACAAAAATATTGTATATATTTATCTTATTTTAATTCTTTTTAATTAGTTTTAATTCAATATTTTGCTTGTTTTTTGTTATGTGACAAAGGGGATTGTGCTGTAAAGCATGTTTGCTTCTGATTTAAAATAAATTTTATTGTGATTGTAAACTTATTAACAATATACTGTTGATAAATATTTTTTATTTAATCTTTTATTTTGTAATTAACATATTCATTATGCTTAAAATTTATTCACTTTTTAAACATTCAAAATATCTATCTCCACTTAATTTTTCTTGAAAAATATAAATTTACATTTAAATATTTATAAAATATTTTTTTAATATAAATGATGTTATATTTTCAATATTTGTTTTGTTTGTATCCTAAATTATATATAATTGCAAAAATAAATTCATAAAGAATTAAAAATAAAAATTTATAATTATATATTTTATTGTTGAATAATTATTTATAAATTCTAGTGGAGATGTGATATTGAATTGTTTATAATAGTCAATTTGGTCTGAGTTGATTTTTAATATTGGATACAGGGAAATCAACAAACTACTAGTCCAATTCTATCTGCTGGTGGAAGTTTAGCCAATGAGGTTGCCAAGGCTCGTCAACATATTAAACAGTCTTTACAGTGTGTGAGTACTGCACTCTTTGCACACCTTTATATAACAAAATTTTCAAAACTGCTTACTAATATATTCAATATTAATATAAATTAATGGGTATAAAATCTAATTATTTAATAATAATTGATAATTTTTTTATTTTAACTTATTTTAATTTTATTTTTCAGATGGATGATATTGCAGCTGTTGCTGGTTTTGCTACTCCCAATGAAAATAAAAAGGATATTCTAGATTCTAGTGGTCAGTATTATAAATTATTATGCTAAATTATTTTATCAATAATATAGATTTCCATATTTTAAATCTTCATTAACAGTCTTCCAAGAATTGAAAAATACTGTTGAAAAATTGGAGGAACGTGTCAAAGCTCTTGAAATCAAGATTCGTACTTTTGTACCTGCTGATCCAATAGCAGTTTGTCCTGCTAAACCTCAACCAGCTTCAAAACCAACACAAGAAAAAGCTGATGATGATGAAGATGTTGATCTTTTTGGTTCAGATTCAGAGGCAAGTGAGCAGAAATAATGGAAGACACTAAGCAGTTAATCCTCTTCTATTTTCATAAATATCGAAAATCATTTCTGCACGATACTTATACATTTAGTACACTTTACACGTGTCTTCAAGTGCAAAAGTGATAAAATGATACGACATTTACGAAATATAGTACACCAGATATTCCCAGAATACTAATACATTTAAATATAATTTTCTATTTATTACACAAAATCAACACAAATACTATAATACAAATATTGAAATGTAAATGTTGTAATTTATAATCTATACTGTAAATTGTTTAAATACTTGACTTATTAGGGAGAAGATGCAGAAGCTGCAAAACTTAGAGAAGAAAGACTGGCTGCATATGCTGCAAAGAAAGCTAAAAGTAAGTTGTGTATTACATTTATATTTCAAATACAAATTGTTTTATATATAATCATAATTTATAGAGCCAGCTTTAATTGCTAAATCAAATATAATATTGGACGTAAAACCGTGGGACGATGAAACGGATATGAAAGCAATGGAAGAAGAAGTTCGAAAAATTGAAACTGATGGACTTTTATGGGGAGCGTGTAAGTTATCTAGAATATAAATATATAATATAAATATATAATAAATAATATCTTTTTTAATTTAAATTTAAAATAATATTTATTCTATTATATTATTATTCTTTCACAGCAAAACTTGTTCCACTTGCCTTTGGAATTCACAAACTTCAAATTTCGTGTGTTGTTGAAGATGACAAAGTTTCTGTAGATTGGCTTACAGAACAGATTCAGGATATCGAAGATTATGTACAAAGCGTAGATATTGCAGCCTTTAATAAAGTATAAAATATTAACGAAGCTTTCTTCGTAGAAAAATATCTGACGGTTCTAATTGTAACCAGGCATTGGTCTGTTGTGCCATCATTTCATTCCATTAGCAATATCTACTTTGATAAATACATGTTCTATCACTAAAAAGGACTGTCTAAAAATAAAAAAACATAGCTATTGTACTCCAATTTTAATATTCGATGTCAATTTATCAATCGTTTTTAAAATATTCAAGCAAATTTTTAAATTGTGGTTGTATGATCAATATATTCTTTATAAAGAAAAAATGTAAACCATAAATGTTTTAAACGTAATTCAATGTATAAAATTTAATGTAACATTATATAGATATTTCATTTGCTATCATAATGCTATTCATTAATAAATATAGGTATATAATACCTATTATTAGTACCATTTTTAATTGTTTGTTTTGGAGTATTGTTAATAAATAAAAAATAAAAATAATCAACATAATTTTATTATTTATTTCTAATTTTTCTTTTTTTTTTTTTAAGAATAAAAAACCTGAAGGAGAACGGAAAAGTACAGTGCTGCTCTCTGGTAGTATATATTGTATGCAATACGATCTAAACTACTTGAATTTATTTTGACGTGTTTTGCGCGTTCTTTGTTCTTATTTCTCGTAATAAATAAAAAAATATTTGCTTTCAAGATGACTATGGCTATGCTTCAACGAAGAGCTAATGTAAGTACATATATTTATACGTAGTAAAAAAGTATTCAATATAATATTAATAACCTAACCTAAATTTTTTCTGTTATTTTATAAAAATATATATTCTTTAGGTAAGATTACCTCCAGAAGTAAACAGAGTATTGTATATAAGAAATTTGCCATACAAAATTACTGCCGAAGAAATGTATGATATTTTTGGTAAATATGGAGCTATTAGACAAATTAGAGTGTAAGTATTCGAGTGAATTGAATTTTATTTTTTTACGTATTTTTTATTTTAAGTTACTTTCTTAATACTATACTAAATTTCCTAATATTTGATACTATAAAATTAATATCATATAATTTCTTGATATTAATAAATTATTTATTTGCAGGGGCAATACTGCTGAAACTAGGGGAACAGCATTTGTTGTTTACGAAGATATATTTGATGCAAAAAATGCTTGTGATCATTTAAGTGGATTTAATGTTTGTAATAGATATTTAGTAGTTTTATATTATCAAAGTAATAAAGCATTTAAACGAGTTGATGTAGATAAGAAAATGGAAGAAATAGATAAGTTAAAAACAAAATATAATTTGAATGAAGAAAAAAAATAACAACATAATTCTTTAAATTTAATGAAAATGCAGAAACAATTCATTTTGTAATGTAAATTTTTTATTTATTTAAACAAATTTTTCTTTAGATTTTATCATTATAAAATAAGTATATGTAAATAATAGAAATAATTCAATAAATAATTTCATTTATATTCATTTTTAACTTATATTTTTTATATAATTGAATGCAAGATTATAGAAGTTTAATCCACAATAAGGAACGTATAATTATTTTCCTGTAGAACGATGGTTTCTCGTTCCTCGCCCAAAAAGATATAAAAGTCGGAGCGAAAAAATGTCGACATATTAAGAGGCTGTAATTAATACAACTTTCACAGTCAGTGGTGGAGTAGCATTCCATTATTCCCATATATTTTGAATGAAATAATTTTAATTAAAATTCTTAATTGCAATAAAATGATGTTAAACAATTCTCAATAAAATATGAATGAAGATAATGATTCAGAGATTTTTTTTTTAAGGATATAAAATGATTTTAAAAAATGGATATTCATGTAAAACCATATTCAGACGAAATTGTGAACTTTTATTGGATTCAGGAAAGATGAAGATTGTTGATCAAAAATATCTATGATCAACTGATGACGACACGAAGTGATCTCCATCAAGGTTGGGTAAAAAGATGTACCTGTCATAGAGTGCAATACGCGCGTGTCATATGTAATTTAATCGCTCGACTCATCTTGTCGACACTGGCGTTTTGTAATGCGAGCTCGATAAGACTACATTTACTTGTCCGGATACTCGATACTTGATGCTGGTAGAAACGCGCGGTACGATATACCGCAACACACACAACGATGCACGCGTGCGCACACGTACGCAATTCATATAGGTTCTTGTCAGCGGCTAGCCGGCAGGACATTCGATTTCAGTCGAAAGCGAAAACTCGCTTAGCCCGTTTAGTCGTGTTGTCGCGGCACATCGTTCTATAGTGTGACATTCTTGTAAGTGTTTTCTATTTATTAATTGATTTCAGTTTGTTATATTTTAGGCAATTAGAGTGTTCGAGATATTAACGGGGCTTGGTTAAATGTCGTTCGACTGTTGTAATAGCGGCGAAGTTGCCGGTGTTACATTCGTGGACGTCCTTGAAAACGTGTCACGTATTCTGCGAGCAGTTTACGATAGTTTCCTTCATGATGTTAGACATTTCACGTACGGGTGCTGTTGGTTGTTTCTCATCATTGCTGCTTTCCTATTAATGGCTTTACGTATAATAGGCCGTATTCACGTCACGCCGCCTAGAGACATCAGACTTGAAGAGTAGCGCAATCTTACGGAGTACGCGAAAGACAATTTTTGTTTTGCTTTTTAATCGCCGGTGTAAACAAGAACGATTTCAGAGTAATCGAATATAACACCAAGTCTCGTGAGTGTGGGGGACATTCATGCAATTTACTTTCGCCATATCGCAATCCTCGACACGATGTAAACAGTCTGGATGAAGGAATGGCGTCAGTCTGATGGAGTTTTCGTGTTACCTTTTGATGTTATCGTATTTGGTTGATACGATTCGATTTGTTGCGCTCGATTGGTCGAAAATCATACTTTATTTGGTTAATATGTCAGTGTATAGTGTCGAATAGTGAGTAACTATGATGTGTCGTCTTTTTATGTTTCTGACACAAACATCACTCGAGAGAAACAACGGCGTCGCGTGGAGGAAGAATGAATGAACGAGAAGAGGACGATCGAAGTGTGGCGGGAGGGGATGCGACGACCGTCGTGTTGTGACGGCCTGCTGCCTGCTTGCCGATTTGTATCGAGGTGAGAGTACGTGTATACATATGTGTAAGTGTATTTGCTGTATGTACATGTTATGTGTGTTTATTCACGCGATCAACTGTGTCCACTGTCGTCACAGTCGTCGTACACTTTGCGTACACACAGCGACGTTATTTATGCGTAGTCGCGTTCACGCAATTCGTATGAACGTAATTCGTTCTACTCACGTGAGTCTGCCACTGTTAGCTTGCTCTCAAATATCGTAATGCATCATTGCGACAATGGAATTCTAATTATTAAATTAAAATGATGAGTCGTGCTTATACAATTGACTTTTCAAATAATAAATCATCTGTTTCATATCGATATTATTGCTTTAAAATATCGCTTAATAATATTCTAAAATTTTATAATAATATTATAATAATATATCTTGTTTAAATTTATTTAGTTTAAATTACTTATTCTATTTTTTTTTTTTAATAATGCATGGTTATTTTTTTTTACAGTTTATAAAGTATTACGCATTTAAATTTTCATTTCCATTTCCATCAATATGTTAAATGGAAACAAGATAGTTTGAAAAAAAAATTCATATAAAAAGAAGGATATATTCGCATTGAGAATTTAGCATTTATTGTGCTTTATATGTAGTTTCATTTGGAGTCCTTGTAGTCCTTTAGAAGTATATGAAAGTGAGTGAGCAGGTGTCAAATACTTAAGTGAGAATGTTTGTCTGCTGTCTGGATAAATATGTCGTCGTGCTACCAGCTTTTGAGTTGCTCCTCTTTACGTTAATAGCAAGCAACTTTATGCATTCTCAAAGCAATAAGACAGATCTTTTGTATACACTTGTTTTTAATCGAAATTCAAACATCATAAATAAATAATAAATTAATGTATATATTTATATTAAAAATATCACATATCTTTAAATTTTCAATCTTTATCAATTAAAATTGCACAATATTAATTCACGTAGATTAATTTTTCAAAATTTTTTTATTTGTTGAATTCGCGATTCATTGCATTTAAAATCATTAAGCATGGAATTAATTGAAATAAGATAGTTAAAAAAATATATGCCTTAAGGAGCTTAAGCTTTGTATGCAATCTTATATATTGTAGATCACAGATGTCGCGTCTTGCGTAGATTCTAGAAACAACTTGTGAAACCTTAACTATATGTCAGAAGTTTTTAGTGGTTATGACGTGCTCTTAGTTAAATTTAAAAAGTGGAGATGAACAGTTTTCTTAAATTATTAAATATAATTATCGAAGTGTCTTACGAAATTTACGATAATATGATTTGTTATATATTCCAAGGTACGTAGAAACGATTTTTTATCGTATAATGTACAATTTAAAGTAGTATAAAGTTATAATAGATTTTGCATGACGTTAAAAAATATGGGAAATATATATACATTTCAATTATAGGTATATTTTCTCAAAGAATTTACAATAAAAAATAAAGAATAAATTATAAAATTAAAAAAATTGATCATTATGATGAAAATTTTAATTGAATACTAATTTAGTAATTTTTCAAATGATGAAGTTCGGAATATACATATATGGATAGAGTTTCTCAAGTGACAAACTACGGTCTAAAAAAAAGCAGTAGTTATAATTCATTTTATCGCCTTCGTTCTATTGTTTCTCGTAAAACGATCAGTTTTATTTTCAGTGTACGATATATAATATATGTACGAGTATTGTTTTAGAATTTTTATTTAGAGAATAGTGATCGTTTTATAATAATACATCGATAGATAGATGGCGATCAATTTAAATGTGGTTTGTAATATTACACGTAATATATTATATTGTAATTTAACAAGAATTTTTTTAAATTACAGGCGGAGCGTCCGTTCCTCGCTGGAATCGGGCAATGTGGTAAGTCTTGACTTTCCTTCCATATTACTTCGTAATTTTAGATTGTTCGTTGTCGACTATACAGTGGCCTTGCATTATCTACTTCTAATATTATTCCGTAGTTATAGGTTATAACTTTATAAAATAGGTAGTTAAATAAACTTTAATAAAATGCTATTTATACAATGTTTATATAAGTTTAACTAATCAATTGTAGGTTTCTTATATAGTTTTTAAATTTTTTTAATCTTTCTTGAACATATTATGTCTATTCTCAGAAATTCCATTAAATCGATACATCTCGTATGAGCAATATATAAAATGCACGAGATACATTATGAAAAAATTAAGGCAATATTATTTGTGCAACGATAAAGAGAGTGATACAATAGGAAAAATATAAATTTTAATATAAATTTAAATAATATGATATTAAATAAATCAAAAAAAAAAAAA